ATTGAAAGTCGAAAATCATTAATTTGTTTCACGCTAATGTCGACAAACAGTTAAATATGTGCATTGCTTGCTGGGGGATTGGCATGGCAGATTTAACGAAATTTTGATTGATTTAAGCTGTCACTCATTCGAAACTTTGGTGGTGATGATGAAGAGCTATCAAAGGTGTGGCGCAGCTTCATATTTTAACTGTAAAAAATGCGTTGAACTTTATATGGAGCGACGTAATTAACCGAAGAAGCATTGTGGGAAATATTTTATTATTTATGTGCCATACCCACTGCATTGAGTTTATAGTTAATTTCCTATCCTTAAGGCTGGGGTGCACTTTTGACTTGTAATTTGGGGGAGGGAGTTTGTTGCGCAGCGCAAAAGTATAAGTTTAAATTAAAGACTTCACTGAGGATGTTGTTTTAATGTAACTTGGTGACTATGCTTGGCTTATATTTTCTACGTCTGAATTGAGGGAATAAGTAATTATTTTATTTTTTGTATAATAATTTGTAAACTAAAAAACCATCAAATTCGGCTCGAGCTGAGCATTTAAATATATGGTTGCTCAATTACTATCTTTTCGTACGGATTTAGTTAAGACAGTATGTTTTAATCGGCTTATCCATCAAGCGTTGTCTTCAGGTCCATCCAACGGGAATTTCACGGGATTTGTCTATAGAGACAGGGGGTGTGATTTTGGGCACATGCGAAGAGGTGCCGTGAGTCATGTGGCGACTCTCCGCATGCCGGGCACTCGTTGGGTACATCTGCATTCACTCTGCTCAGGTACGAGTTTAATCTACTACAGCAGCCAGACCGAAGTTGGGCTATTGTGGTGCGAGCCTCCTGAGGCAGACAAAGCTCTGCCCCGTCCATGTCAGGTTATTGTGTACCCAAAACGGATTCACAGGTCGGCAGTCGATGTAGGTTGAGACCGAATCCCTGCGAATGCCGTTTATGGCCTGTCGGTATGCTGTCGGGTCCAGAGGTTGTTTTATGAACCTCTGCACTTCGTCCGTCAGTTCGTATAGAGAGATGCCTCCTGACGTGCCTTGGCGAGGGCTCTACTGCAAGCAGGTATCAGCTCGAGTGCCCGCGGCTGTGGAAACTTACTAGGAGCATTGTGTTGTGCTCCTTCGTGGGGACCATCTGGGCCACGCCGTGAGGGTGGTGCGCGGGGCAACATCAGAAGGCATCCGCCGTCGTGGTCCGGAGTGCCGTATTCTGGCAAGTCTTTAGCTTCGTCTAATGCGTCCTGCTAGTCCCCGGTGACCACACCGGCGCTGCATATTTTTGAACCGGCCGGCCAATTGCCTTGTATGTTGCCAACAATGTTTCTTTGTCTTTGCCCCAGGTGCTGCCGGCAATGCACTCTATTGACAATTGCATAGTTGTATGCGCCGAGAAGGAGAGCAGGCTGATGAAGGTAACTACGAGAATTTTCAGATTATTAACCGTCGGAGTTGTTTCGTCATCGACGTGAATACCCAACTGCAACCTGACCTCCTTCGCTCATTCCCTCCTTTTATTGGAGAGGTGAGAAATTTCAGAGACGTAACCGTTTACTTTCGAGCAAAAGTCCATTCCCAGACGTCACTATCGAGCAGTCGCCAGCAGACAATTCGGACTCCCTCTGTTGATTTAGAGTGTTTTGATCTGTCATAATTAAACAGCAGCGGGGAAAGGAAACCACCCTGTGGAACCCCCAGTTTAATTTTCCTTAGTTTGCTGGTGTTGTCTCTAAAAATGACTGGCGAATGTCGACCAATCATATGATTCGCTGACCACCGTTTGAGTCCCTGTAGGAGAGAGGAAGCCTCAGTGTCTTCTAGTAGCGTAGAGTGACTTACGGAGTCAAACGTCTTCGACAGATCCAACGCTACCAGGGCTGTTCTCCCACAGGGGCGGTTTCGGTTTAAGCCATGAGTTATATGAGTGTTTATGGCGTTAAGTGCTGTTGTTGTGCTGTGTACCTTACCGAACCCATGTTTGTTGGCTCGCTGAGGTCAGGTGGTTCGTGTAGTGTGGGAGTAGAAAGGCCTAGAGTGTCTTCGCTACCGGGGAATGGGAAGTTATCGGGCTATAAGGCTCTCGTTTCTCCGCCAACCCTTCTGACAAGTTTAGACGCATACCTGTAGAAGTTGGCCGGTTTTTGCTTCCATTTTATGAAAAACAGCTAATTGGTGCCAGTCTAGCCTCACAATCAGCTGGGCTATCAGGGATAAACTCGAAGCCACGAAGAATCTAGATTGACAAACGTCCCCTTTCAGCACTAGAGAGCCACAGACTCCATTTTCAATTCCTGCTCAATGTTGGGCTTCCATGCCAGCTGTCTCTCTAGAATAAAGCCCAAGTACTTGATTTTAGTTAACATAAAGCGAACGAACGCATCCAATTGAGTAAACAGTCACATACCCTTTATGAAAATTTTTCTGATTGAAGAGAAAATTTAACTATACTCTTAATGCTATCCTTTGAAAATTTAGAGATAAGAGTGAACAGCGAACCGACCACACAAAACGAAATATTTTCCGAATTTTCTCTTCATAAATGAAAGAAACCGAGAGTATCGTACAAAACGCTATGAGAAAGGAAAATGCAAGGAAAACGGAAACGATGAAAATAGGAGGGAAAACATACAGCAGAGCCAGCATTCGTAGTAGTAAATAACAGGAAGTAGTGAAAAAAGGACACTGACAGAAAATTGGTTTAAGCCACTTATAACAAATGCACATTTTGTTGTTACTGTATGCACTAACAAATGTTCATACAGATGTACATACTTACATATACATATATGTATGTATGTACATGCGTATATGTATAAACAACTATTCATAAATTAAAATTTGAATACATAATTTCAATGAACCGAAGCCGGTGAAATTTTCAGCTATTCGAAGAACTTATGTATGTGCATTAGGGGGATCCAAAAATGTATGTGAAAAAGTAAAGTCGGAATTTTTAAGCTCTATAGTGTAGAACAATCCTAGGGGGTGAAAGGATAAAAATTCCGAATTTTCTTGCCAGAAAATGCAATGGGGGGACAAATAAAAAATATTTAGAAGTAAAAAATGGTTAAACTAAAAATTGTATATAGTTATTGGAAGTCTCCTGAAGAGAACCAGAGTTTGAACGCTTTGAGCGACCTATAAATATTTTTTTTTTTGGTTAAAAAAAATAGGGGTATATTTTTCGATATAGAACAATCCTAGGGGATGAGGGCATTAAAATTCTGACTTTACTTATTTTGGACCACCCTAATGTACATACATGCATACATGTGTATGTATGCACATATGTAGCTATGTATAAATGGAGGTATATAAACACAATAGGAAGAAAATACATGCATATCTACATAAGTCCTACATCCACATTCTGGTGCGATGCGAATGACTTTGCCTAAACAAAGGCATGCAACCAACACGACCTGAATACCGCTGCCAATACTGCTGCTTGCCATTTTAGCTCGTCATGTTAAATGATTACAATGAATGACTCTATGTGGTATGTGCTCGAGCTAGCTTACCCTACCTACACCGTTTTATGTAAAGAAAACAGCGCTTAACAGCAGACATATGTACATACATACATACGACCGAAGCAAAAAAAAAAAATAAAAACTCGGCGGAAATCATAGTAAAAGAGGAAATAACGAAAGAAGCGAAGGTAAGGTGCCATATGCGGGAACAATAAAAATAGAAAAACTGAAACTGATAAAAGTGTATGTAATTAGATTTTATCGTACAGCTGTTAATGCCAACAGTCGCTGTTAATCTTAGACAGTAAGGGCTGCATTACAGCACGAGTCTGCTAATGTTTACAAATGCGGTTAACAGAATTTCATTATTTACAGTGAAGGTGTATTGGACGGTATGGTTACAAGTTTGCTGCTGCTGCTCTGCATAATGCTCAACAGTGCTCCCACATTTTGGGGCCGTTTTAACAGTAACTGCTATGAATGCTGTTGCTGCTAAGTTTGTACCTGTATGTACATATGTATGCATTTGTTTTTCCGCTGAACAGCATTCCAATGGATTAACAGCACCTACATATGGTTGTATGTCTGCCGCTGGATGCCGCGTGCCAACGCCACGGTCTACATACACATGTGTACATATGTATGTACACCACGCGCAGCTCCACTCGCGCGCCACTCAACTGCAACGCGGTAATGGCAGCCAACGTAGCTCTTTTTAGCAGCAGCCGAGCAATGGATTCGGTGGAAATCAAGTTTTAGTACGTGTTCCTCCGTGTTTGAAAACAGTTCGTTCGATAGCTGATGATAGTGTGGCGCGCGCGAGTGTGTGTGAAATTTTCATATCAGAAAAATTTACTAAATAGCCATTTATGGGCAATTTCAAATAAAGTGAGGTAAATTTAAAGTATGTATTTTTTTTGCTTAAATAAAAATTTGTAAAAAAAAGTTATTAAATATTTAAGCTATGTATTTGAAATGGCAGAGTTGAGCGTTTACCTTACGAGCTATGTATGTTTGTATGTGCATACATAAAATATGCATAAACACACATACATCTACATATACATATGTACATACATACATATTTACTAATAACTACTCATACATACAAAAATACAAGTTTTCAAGTGTCCGTTAAAGACGTATGTGCATGCATATGTATGCATTCATGTGTGCGTGCCGCTCGTGCAACAAGGCTTGAAGTGTTTGTTCGTGCATTATTGGCTAAGCGTGGAAAGCAATGAAATAATAAAAACGGAGTAAATGAAAACGCGTGCTGGCCAAATAAATGGCATGAAAATTGTTCATAAAACGTTCCAAAAGTGTAATGGAATAATAAAAAGTAACAAAAAAAAACGATCATAAAAATTAATAAATTTAAAACTCCTTTCATTCACTTACTACCTACCATAAATGCAATGTGCAGCATTGTGGCTGCCTCTTCTTCTTCTTCTTTTGCTTCTACCTCTGCAAACGGTCACGGCAACAAAGAATCGATTTGCCACAATTAGTTCGACTGTCGGTAACTACAGGCGTCCTACGTCCCACGTGTCGCCTTCCACCAACCGCACGCTCGCCATGCACCACCTTGGTACACCCCTTTTCGCCTGTAATATTTTCTAAACGCCTGCAGGCATGCTACCCCGCGTAGCAAATGTGTGCGTGTATATTTGTTTACTGCCCAGTTACAAACAATGGACTACAGTGCGTATTGCGCACTTGAATTCACGCGTATTTGTTAGTGTTATTATTGCTGGTGTTTTTGTTGTTCTTGCTGCTGGTGTGGAGAAGTTTTCCGTGCGTTTGTAGTAGTTTGTTATTTTTGTTGTGTTGTTGACCCAACGCTTGACCTAAAGGCATGCCAAATCGGAGCGGAGCGGGGCTGTGCGGAAGTACATATGTACGTACAAATATATGAACGAGTTTGGCAAATGAAAAATGCGAATGCGTGTGCGTGTGCGTGTGCGTGTCCTTGTTAATATGCTGTGAGCTATGAGAGCTTTAAAGCGAAAATTGTGGCATGGAATGGATTAAAGTGAAAGAAAATGTTAGAACAGAGAAACAGGTTTTCTGCTTTTCTCAAATATTTATGTATTAAAAACTCGTTTGAAAAAAACTCGACACAAAAACATTAAACAAATTGGTTTAAATTATGGAAAATAATTTCAAACAAGGCGTAATAATATAGCTACTATTTTAAAAAAGTAATAAATCTGTGCCTTCAATGGTTAAACTTGTGAAAATCCCGAACTTTATTAGAAATATGAAAACTTTACTAAGAAATTATTTTTCTTAAAATTACAATGCACTAGCTGTTCTAGATAAATTTGTACTAAGTATGGTTTTATAGCTGATTATGATAGTTAATCTACAGTACCAGGTTGACCGAGCTTCGCCCGGAGTGCATATCCTTTTTGAAATTCTCAAGGTTTGAATATCAAATATTGGTCATTTGTATACCTTTAAAAAATATTCTTGAAAAAAATGAATTTCGAGATCTATTAAGTAAGTTTTTTACTCAAAAAATTAAGTGGCAACCCCACTCCGAAATACGCTGGAATGAATAGTATATTTCTTGAGCGTATATATACTGTGAATACATACAAAAAATGCTGATTGAAATTAACAAAATAAAAAATTTTCATTACATAGAAGCGTGGCAACCCTGATCGAAAATATTTTCTGAACAAAGTCCTCAACAATACCTTTCATTTGATATACATATTGCGATGTTTCACAAAAATTGTGTAGAATCGAAAATAAGTGGCAACCTTACACTACTATCCTAAGGGATACCATTTTGTGCATAGGGAAAGCATTGTTTAAGAACCTTCTCTTGGTACCCATGAAGAGTAATATTTTACCTTTTTTTCTAAACAAACAATTAAATATATATGCAATTCAAAATAGGTGGCAACCCTATTAAAAATATTATTGAATTAGAGATCTTTAAAATACCTTCCATTTTATGCCCATATTATGATGATTTAAATAATTTGTAACTAATTTCGAGTAAGGTGGCAACCTTATACAAGTCTTCTTGGAGACAATGCCTATTCAGATAACCTTAAAATCCAAAATATTATCCTATTATTTCCGATATGATATGAGATATGAGTTATATTGGCAAGCTGTATTTTATTCAGTAGATGTCATTGCAAAAAGTGTCCGGACTTTAGCTATATAAGTGAGGAGTTATATCTACGTTATGAAAGGTTATATCTGATCCATCTTGATAATTTCTTCAGCAGATCTTTTATGATTGATAGCTCTGTAAATGAAGCAGTTTTAGGATCGTATGATTTTTGTTGTGAAGCTTTTATCAATTAAGCATAAGAAAGTCGAGTACAAAAGTTAAGGTCTTTAGATATTTAAGTGGAGACCGCAAGGTCTGGAATCAAGTCCACTTTCCGACTAACACTAACTAAAAAGTTTTTTTCTAATAGCGGTCGCCCCTCGGCAGGAATGGCAAACCTTATATCTGAATAATCAGTGGTATGGCTGATATGTATGTACAAGAGGGTTGTCCAAAAATACACTGGTAAATCAAATTTTTCGAATTTTCTCCTTTTTTTTGGAAATTGGTCAACCAAAAACGCAAAAAATGTAGAGACCTCCAATTATTTTAAAGTCAATCCAACCTGTGGTTTCTTTTTATAATAAATTTTTCCGATTTCGTCATTTGCGCTTCAAAGTATTCTTGTGGAATGCGTGCTCCGTACATAACAATTTGCAGAAATCTGTTGACCTTGATAACCATTTCAAATCATTTCCATTTTAAGCAACGTCCGAACGCGAATTTCCAGGGCAAACACCCCGCTATGAATTTCAATTTGAATTTCCACAATTTTATTCTTGTAAGTACAGCTTAAAATTTGCGTCATATCATAAACATTTTTTTAAATATAATTTTTTTGCGAATGAAAAAATTAAAAGAAATGTCAAACATAACATCTGCAACACTAGGATTTGCTCATATTTGATTTAGGGAAAATAAATTTTATTAAAAAAAATATTATGAAATAATAGTTAAAAAATATTTTCCATATGAAAATAAAACTCACATTAAAATTTAAAATATTCACAATGAAAATTAAAAAATTTCCAAAAGATTAGATTAAAAAAAATGTAGAACCAAATTCAATTTTTTTTTAATACTAAAAGTTATTATAAAAAACGACTTACTTAGAAAAGAAAAGAAAAAATAAGTTTTTAAAAATAAGAAAAAGTTTGAAAATGTGAATAGTAAAATTTACAAAAAATATAAGATTTATAAAAAAAAATTCAATTAAAACAGCTTTATATTTATAAACCAAAAAAATTTAAGTACCAACATATATACATTAGGATGGGTAAATTTGTAGTATGCTGTAGTATCGTAAATAAAAGCTTAAATTTTGCACAAAAACATGTTTCAAGGGGTTCTTGGTATCACAAATACATTCCTGTGCTTATCTTGTCTTTAAAACTTCCACCAGAGGGCACAACAGTGAAAATGTTCACATTTTCTTCGACATTTATTGTCGCAATTTGGCAAACTCCAAATTGATTTTAGATCCATGATTTCTTCGGCAAAGTTGCTATAAGCGCATAGTCAACAAAAATGGACCCGCCCTAATATAAATAAGTGCATACAATTATAAGCTAAAAATGACAGATCACTTTATAAAACGAGTAATTCTTAAGCAAAAAACTAAACCGAATTCAATTTTCATATAAAAATTCAAGAATATCGTTAATTTCATGATCACCACCTCTGAGGTAACGCCTTCTCTTTAAAAAAATAAACTTTGAAATCGGTTAACGTGGACCAAAGTTATGTGATAACAAACATAAAAAAAATTATCCGACGAATTAATAACCTCCTCCTTTTTTTGATGTTGATTGAAAATTAAATTCAACTAACTTTAAATTTACAAAACAAAAACAAAATTTTAGTATTGACATACAGAAAACTTCTAAATTTATAAAAAAAAAACAAAGATTTACAAAAATATTAACCCTTTCAATGGCTAGGCTAGAATAGCCAAGAAGAAAAACTTTGAGGAAATATTCCTTTCATTTAGGCTCTAACAAGAAAAAATACTTTTTTTGCAACTGCAGTTAAATGTCAAATATCTCTCTAAATAAGCCCTACGTCCTTTTGCAACTGTATTTCATAGTAGAAAGTGGATAAAAAAATGCGCTGCAAAACCTAAGTAAAAATAATTATTTAATATTTATATTGGAAATATAATGGACAAGTCCAATTAATGTGCTAAAACTAACAAAATAATTAAAATTAAGCAAAAATGTTTGGTTCAATTTTATTTAGCTTGAAACCGTTTTCAGTGAACATATTTTTAATTGTCATTAGGCCAAATAATAACAAAAACAAAGAATTATAAGTTACAAAAAAATTAAGATTTTCAAAAAAAAAGTAAAAACCGAAATCGAATCTCTGCTCGACACAAACCAGATCAGCTATGTTACATTCATACATCCTGTTAATGCAATCCATAATTGGCATAAATTACAAATATTCTTCAACACCGACTATTGACGTACTTCTGCGCGTATGCATGCGCTTATGTTAGTCATCAATTTTCTGCTCATTTGTAATACGAGCAGTTAACCTCGACCAGCTCCGCTCCTCGCTCAGCCCTTTATTTTGAGAGTGTATGAAAGAAATCATATACTAAATAGCTTGAGAAAAACTCCAGCACATAATAGCTATTCATTAATGTAAATATATACATACATATTGGCATACATCTGCTCGTATGTGCATGTGTATGTGTATGTGTGCAGCACAGCGTCAAGTAAATACGATTGCTGAATCTGCTAGTAAAGTGGTGAATTTGCAGTTAACAGCAAGGATTATGCCACCACAGGTTCCTGACTTATGCTAAAA